GATAACTATCAAAACGCCTGCCATTTGATATAAATAAGTAGATGGAGCACGTCTACTATTCCATTGCTAAACTTAAAATACCGAACATTTTTCCTAATGGTAAAAAACCCCATCTAGCTAGGAGGTTGAAAAGAAGAAACTATTGCCATTCAAGGGAATATTCAACAAAAGGATTTAAATCGAGTGGATTGAAAGGTAGGTAGTCAAGTAATGAACTAGCTGTGATTTGATTGCAAAACGAAGCCATCACAATCGCACCATCGGACGATTAAGTGGCATAATTACAAACTCACTCAGCCTTGTCCTCCAACAGATAGTGTGGTTTCGCACCAGCCCGCAGACCGTGAGCAAAAATGGAGGCTATACGGGCCCATCGTTTTGCTTGAGTATCCGACGCTCTCTCAGGCAATTGCTTAAGGTGGTCGGTCCAGGCCAGGTAGAACTCGGTATTCAGAGTGCCCACCCCATTGTGAAAGAGTAGGTTGAAGAGTTCACTGGCAGAGTCACAATAATTGATCTGGAAAGAAATATGAACGACAATATAAGAAGAAGATTGGGAACTGCGAAACTGCAAATTTCCAGTTTCGCCACTGGTGAACTGAAAAATCGATTATTGGACCTATAGTCTCGTGTCTAGATTTGTAAACTTACAATTGCCGGACATTAAAAACCAATCAAGCAGCCAGTTATTTTATTATGCATGCTTAGGTAATAAAGTGAAGAAGAAACGGCTTAATCTAAGTAAGTGGACGTCTGAGCAACGGCAACCCCATCGAATGCTTAGCAATTTTGGTACTACATTTTAATGACAATAGACCTCACAAAGCGGGTTATAGCAGACTACCATAGAATAGGAATGGAAATAAATTTCGTCATGAAACTTAGGGTAACTTAAGGTTATATTTATTTATTTATTTATTTATACCAAATGGCAGGCGTTTTGATAGTTAGCATTAGCCCTTTAGTTGACTTCAGGCTTCATGAAGGGGAGTAACAGACAAAGTGAAAAACAGTCGAGAGGGATAACAGAAAAGTGATGTAAATAGACAGACGGACAAAAAGGGGGAGAAAAGAAAAGATGGGTACTGCGGAAGTGGTTGAATATGACATACAGTGTTGCAATGGTAGTCCGAAGTCAACTGCCGAATAATAGACCTTTTTGCCGTATGAGTATACGTTGCCCTGGAGTTCACCACGTGGAGGTAAGTCTATCGTACACCCCGGGTAATTTAAGATTAGGAAATGAGTAAGTGAAATGGAGCTAATCAACATAACTCCTCTGCTGAAATCTAGAAGTGTATCTATTATTTGCCTTCTTTCAACCGCATTGTGGGAAGTAAAGTATGTGAAACTTATCAAGCACTGTTATTGCCCCTTCTATTAGAAACCATAAACGTTCTATTAAGCATTTAACAAGGTAGGTAAAATAGCTTTAAAGAACCGATTGCTCAATTCTTGGAAAGATACAGTGGACAAGACCGATGCAACCGTATTTTTTATAAAGCGCATTATGTATCATTCCATACTATTCAACATGCCCGAAGTGTTTTGAAGCATACATATCTAACTGTGGGGGTAGCAGACGGATAAAATTGATAAATACCCTGGGAATAACGCAACCACAAGATCCAAAATTAATAGCTCGAATCTCCTCATTCTCTCAGCAAAAAAAATAAAACTTTAAATCCCTGACTTGTGAGATGCATATTGGCTCCAAGTTCAAGTTCAATATCGAGTTCTCCAATTTCCATGAATCTCTTCCTTTTGTGATACTGTTGTCTCCCCTCTACCAACATAATCAATCTTTTCCACTAGAAGTTAGTAAGGTGCTGCTGACTCAGAGGAGAAGGTGGAGAGGGGAGAGGTGAAACAAAGGGCAAGAGGGTTATAAGTAGGCGAGCAAAACTCCTAGATTGAACTGAAGCAAATGTTCCACACATAGTAGACAAATGTATAAGCCGAACTGTGTAGTCATTGGCCAGATCAGACCACATAACCAGCGTTAGCAATGGCTGGAAGGGAAGTTGAAGGTATGAGAGCAAATGGTGGTCTGCTCTCATCATCAACTATGACCTTGTTTCCAACTTCCGCACCTCTTATAGGCCTCATGCCATTTCATATATATATATATATATATATAATCCCTGAAACTTAATTTCCTCAACCTCACAGCGATGCTTGAACCAACGGTGACCTCAGGTGGTTTATTATAAATACCAAGTCCTTGAATGAGGACAGTTGGGGTTCGGCACCCTCCTCCCCTACCCTCTACGACAAGCAATATTCAGAACCATTCCACCTGTTTATGCAACTAGGTATGAAACTCTATAAAGCTCTTTGTAAAACACCCACACGTAGACACACGCCCATCATTTACCGGATCCTACTCTTCCCTTTCATCTTCATCGTATTAGCTAGAACCCCTATCGTTGTTTATGCAATACCCTTCAGCCTACACATTTCCCATGTTATACTTTAAGAACCGTAATTTGACGTTGATTGATGCCAGTCATTAGCTGGTACTCCAAAAATCGTTAACATTAGAAATATGAAGATGAATACGTCTTTGTTGAATTAACAAGGTGTCATGAACTTACAATTTATTCTTAGCTCTAGATCTCAGTCACTTTCCGAATTTAAATTCGATGATCTTAGATTCTCGAGCCATATTTCCCAAACCAGACACAAATCACAACTCATATTGAACAGAAATACGACATCTCTTTCACATTTACCATATTTCACACAAATAAAATTTCTGCAACTCGCACAGTTGATTAAACGGGTTAAATAAACACCTCAGTCCGAAGTCTCAAGCATCCTGCTTCAAATACCCAAATGCTGTAACATTCATTGAAATCACAATTTAACTTCGATTTACCAAAGTAGTGTATTAATCGTGATTTCAGGATTTAAATTAAGATGCTCTTTTCTCGGGAATTACCTCTTGGTAATTTTGATAATATATACGAAAAATACTAGCAAATACTTGGCCGAAACAAACAGGGCAATATTGTACCACCAGAAAAGAGTTCAAAGCACTTGGCTTGTAACCGCTTTCACAAGAAAATCGCATTCTAACGCCAATTCTGCTGACTAGCCATAGCAATATGGTGTAAAACCGATGGAGAATGATCCTGTGAACTTTGGTTTGGCGAACGCGTCTGTTAACCACTGTTGCACTGGCGTACATTACATTGTTTACGCTTTTAAAACCTTTAAAAGGTGAAAAATTGTGTGTTTTGCCTTGTTCACCACTAAGCTCTGAAACCTAATTGTTTTAACCGAAGAAACCTCATGCGATCTATAACCTTGCTGGAAAGTGTGGTAAGCACACAGAGATCCCAATCAAATAGCAAGCGGTTTAATGCAGCGTAGCGTAAAGTTGGGTCAGTGATTAAGCATGTTGACAGTTTTAGAACCCACAAAACGCCAGCTGGAACGCAAATAAGTAGATGTACCGCGGTCATCCGAAAGTCCGCCCAATCGAATTACTTGGGCTCCAAAGATAGATTCATGAAATTGAGGTTTCCGTTTAACCGCCCTGGGCGGATTTGCGGAAAATTCCGGTATTAGAGATTTTGCAATGGTAAGCAATTGTCCATGAAGTTAATAAGGTACTTGTTTTCTTTAAGTTGGTTAATAGGGGGCGGAAGAACGTGGCTACATGAGCACCTTGTGCAATAGCAAGTCGGTGGTAAATCACTACAGTAAAGACATGTGTGTGCTAACCACTACAGCAATGGTAAACGTCAAATAATTTCTTTCCCGCGAAATAACTTGCTGAACTCTTACAGTCAGGCGGGTAGTAGTTGCCATAAGCATTGAGAGACATCGGAAGGCATTCAAAAACATGAAATAATTCGTCTACGGTAATTAGAGAGACCAAGCTCGATTACACAATCTAAAAAAAAGTTGACAGTGGACAAGACGCTGATAGAGCAAAAATCACTGAGGGAAATTGAGTGAGCTCACTAATTTAAGCCATGCATCCACGTAGATGGGATGATTGTGTATATCCTGAATGTAGCAAGTATCCTTCACGGATCTGTAGAGAACGTTGCGATACTTTGAAGCAGCACCCAGGGAAGGATAAAAGTCCTCTATCCACCTAATGTACCTACAAAGCAAAGAAACAATAGCGGTAAGCATCCGTTTGCTTTTAATTAGGAAGCGAAAAAAGCCCAATCAAAGGATGTTTTCCCAAGTTTGTGCTTTGGGATAATATGTTAAGGCAACTCTTGCCTTGTGATGAGCATGAGATTTCCGCCTTATTAAAGGGTTATAAATAATTCCAAAAAGCCAAGAAAACATATGAGATTAAATAATTTATTACAATAGGCCAATGATATCGAAATGCTACTAGTCCCCCAAATACAACAAATTTCAGTGACAGTAAACACCCCCCCCCCTCTCTCTCTCTCTCCCTCTCTCGTTCTCACACACATAAATTTAAAACTCGGATAAATTAACTAACGAATGGGAAAGTGGCTAAGACACCCATTTCCAACAGACTGGTATCTCTGTGAAGACATTAATATTTCACATCTGGGGTGTGCGATAGACTTACCTCATGCGGCAAAAAAGTCTATAAACCGGCAGTTGACTTCTGAGTTCAAGCTATCATGACCTCACTGTATGTCATATTCGACCACTTTCACAGTACCCACCTCACCTTTCATCTACCTTTGTGTCTGCCTCTTTTACATCTTTAAAACATTCTTCTGTTCCGACCCCCCCCCCTCTCGACTTATTTCGATTTTATGTCTCTCTTCCTCTGTGAAGTCCGAAGTCAACTAAGGGGCTAATGATAACTATCAAAAAGCCTGCCATTTGATATAAACAAATAAATATTTCACATCTTCTCTTAACCCCAGCTCCAAGTTTGTTTAGCTGGCCACCGCAATAAGACAAAAAGAGAAGGCATAAGAGAGGGGGGGGGATTTAATTTTCTTAAACTTTAATAAAAAATATAAATTTATTAGAGGTTATTTTTAAACCTCAAATCACTAAACACTTTCCTTCAAGTGAAATATTTGCCTAGGAAGTATGCGTAGATAGCAATAAAGGTGAATGCGAACCTTCCTTCGCAAAAAAACTCGCACTCAGCACAACTGTTTCAGCATTAATTTGCAACGAGGGTTCAAGGAATACTTCAAGTACCGAGAACTATTCACATCTCGAGAGCTGAGTCTTCATCTCACATATCCACCTCATCCTTTTCAAATATAACTTTGAAGGCAATACACACACCTCTCAAGCGAAATAATTAGTGTCTATCGAGTGGAGTGCTAAACCTAGACACCATTTATCACGCCTATTAAGTGGTTTTGCTAAGATGGCAGACAAATGGCATCGTTCAGTATGTTAGCCCATCAAACTGATGCAAACTACCAATTAGCAAGCCCAGATATGACAACGAAGAAACTTTGAAAAAAAGAGGATTAGTATCAATTATGGGTGCTTTACGAGGATGATGTAAAGTATGCGCAATTTTAGTGCTATTAAAAAGTGTGGGGTAGGTCCGATAAATTACCTAGTACAAGAATGTTTTAATAAGCCGGAAATCAACAGATATCCAACAAAAAATGTTTAAACTGAAAATGTAAGAAAATAGTGTATAGTTAATGACTTCACAAGGGAACAAATAATATATAGATTCCAAAACATGAGTATCAACTATGCTACTACAATTGACAAGTAAGAGCATGGATTCGAAGTTTATTAGCATGAAATTAATTAATTGCATGCAAGTTATGAAAATTAGAAGACGTAATTTGTTTCTTAATAACCCATTTCAGAGAGAATAGTGAATTGTTTAAAAATCTTGAGCGAGAGTCTCGTAAGGATACGATTGGCTGTCTCAAATCGAACATTTATAGCGATGGCTCGACCACCCAATACACTCGGAGCATCGCAGACAAAAAGAACACGCAAATTTAGGAGTCTGAATTTGGAAAAAGTGGAGTTAGCGACGCAGTGAACTACGCCCATAGAGAAAAGCGTGGACAACCGGAAAACATACAGATATCACAACCTAGGCGTACAAGAAGATGGCAAAAAAAGAGGGAGAAGAGAGGCCATTTGTACCATTCTCTTGAAAGGGGAGAGACTAGTGCAACAATACACATTAATCCAGTATTGAAAAATAAACAAGAAAACAGAGCTAACAAAGGGCGGAGCCATAGCAATATCATAATGAGCGTTGATTTACTAGCATAGTAACTCAAATTTCTCAGTTAATAAGGAGGATGCCTAAACACGCGTGGAACACTCACATTAATTGGCAAGTAAAAGGGGAAAGTGAGAGAATACAGATCTACGACGAATGACGAAAATCGTTTTGAGTTCTTTTCTTCTCAATTAATCAACACAAATCCTGCCCAATAGCAAAGAAATACTAACTAACACCTCTCTTAAAACCCCAAAAAGTCAATAGTAAGAGGTAATTGTCTAAATGACAGGGATTTAAGGCAGTGACACTGTAATTCAGCAGTTTTTAACAAATATTCAAAAGTAGCAACATCAAATTAATGCGTTGAGAACAATATTGCACATAAGCACTTCCCTTCGCTGTTTAGATACTAGACTCCTCATTCACTAGATAGGGGAAATTCAATGAGAAGTAGTACAATGCTAAAATTAGAGAATGAAGAAGGAGGGTAAGAACAAAACGACAGCACATTTATCTTATTTAATTAAACATTCCATCAAATGAGGTCTTTTTAGCCTCAGTATAGAACTATGAATCCAATATTTAACCAATCTGCTTAGATTCAGGCTTGTTAAAATGGAGAGAAAGTTAGATGAATGCCTCATAACTGTGACTTTAGCGAAGTCAACTTCAACTTGAATGTTAAAGTTGCATGACATATTAGGTTGGCAACTAAGTCATTGACGATTTCAAATAAGAAGGCAAATTCGGAATTTTCGTTTAAAAATATAACTTTATTCAATTAGATATTGGCCGTTCTTGTCGATGACCTTTCCCCATCGTTCTGGCAGAGTAAAAATGCCCCGCTCTTAAAATATCTGGTCTTTGCTATTAAAAAAATTAATTAGGTGTGATCCGACATCATCCGCGTTGTTAAAAATTTTACCATTTAAAGAGTTTTGCATGGAACGAAACAAATGGTAATCCGAAGGCGCAAGGTCAGGGCAGGGCTATATGGTGGGTGTGACAAAACATCCCAACCCAGTTCCAATAATTTTTGCCGAGTAACCAAAGATGTGTGGGGTCTTGCGTTATCATGATGGAAAACAACATCCTTCCGATTTGATAATGCCGGCCACTTATCTTCAATTGCATCCTTCAGTTTTTCGAGTTCTTCAACATACACATTTGAATTTATCGTTTGGTTCTGCGGCATGAGTTCGAAATACAAAATTCCTTTGTGATCCCACCAGACTCACAGCATAATCTTTTTTTCGTGAATCTCTGCTGCTTTTGATACTGTTTGGGCTGGTTGATCTTGCCTCACCCATGACCTCTTGCCACTAACATTGTTATAAACTATCCACTTTTCGTCGCCAGTAACTAGGTTCTTCAGAAATGGATCATTCTCATTCTCATTGCGTTTCAGTAGCGGCGAATCACAGATGCTAATCCGTTGCGTCAAATGAATTTCCTTTAACTGCTGGTGAGGGATCCATAAATCAAGTTTCTTGACATAACCAAGGGTTTTTAATTTTTTTTTCAATGCATGTATGCGACACATTGAGCAGCTTCTCTGCAATATCTCGTGTTGTGCTGTGACGATTTGAATCGATAATGGCCTTGATATGGGTTTCATCCACTTCGACTGGGCGGCCAGATCGTTGCGAATTTTTCAGTGAAAAATCACCGGAACGAAATCTTTCAAACCAATTTCGACACTGCCTTTCTTTTAAGGCTTCATCTCCATATACGGCACATAACTTCTTTTGTGCTTGCGATGCATTCTTGCCTTTTCGGAAGTAATACAATAAAATGTGTCGGAAGTGCACGTCCTGTTCTTTCATTTTTAAATTGGGATAAAAACAAAACTAAAGAACTAAGCAAAAAAATTTTTACTAATTAACCTAGAAGCCCATACAGTAAGAAAAAAATAAAGGTTAGATGCTCTGGCCACGTTAACAAAACAAAAGAAAGTATAGAGTGAATCTGTCAACAAAAACGGCAATGACTTAGTTGCCCACCCAATATATCCACGCATGCATGAATAATAGCCCATCAGATTAAGATCTTGGTGGGTGAGGGGTAGTTCGAAGGCCAAACATGAGTGGAAACTGATGTAGGCACAAAAAATGCCTGACAATTTTTTTAATTTTCCATGAAGTTTGGCAGGGTGCATGCTGTGGCTAGGTGGAGTTGAAGTAGAACGATCCTTCATTATATCAACGAGAACTTGTATTTTCATTTTTTTTGGCTGGAATATCGGCTTGTTGAGAGCAATTAGCTAGGCAAATACTAGAAAGGAGAGTACGAGTAAGTGGCAGGTAAAAATTTGCGCATGCAGAGAAGGAAACCAACTGACATCTTTAAGTAGTACACCATATGAAAGCCTCTCTCAGGATTAAATGTTACCGGTTGAGTCGGTGTATTACTTAAATAGTTATTTGCCACTCAGAGTCAGGGCAACCCAACTCCAAAAAAAAATAAATGAAGAAAGACTCGTTTTAATACTCGGCTTCTTATTGATCCCCAATTTTATCTACTTCCTTTTCCTGAAATTTAGTACTTATTCTTACTCATGACCAACATCTTACCCTGGCGCAAGTAGAAACAATTGAAATTGTTCAAGTGAAGGCGGAAGTATGATAATAAAGTAACTAAAAGTTCCTGTTGATAGTTCGCCGATTACATCAGTTTAAATAAAATACAGGTGGCAAGGGACTAATGCAATAAAATGTTAAATACTCTTTGAAGTCGCCATTTATGGTTAACTCATTACGTAGCTCCTAACAATGGCCGAAGCATCATTTTGGGATTGCCAGTTCAAGCAAAAGTACGCATCACTTTTTTTACTTATTTAAAATGAACGCACAAAGTATTTGAAACTATGCTTTTTTTGGAAAAGCCTTCTCTCACAGTTCCCTGATTGCATCGCCAAAATTTCTTATATTAATTGATTGAAGGTGAAGGATTAATTTGAGTGGAATGAATGATTCAACACCTAATACGACGCCTCTTGTGTATCTAGAGTAATCTAAAATAATGCAAAACTTGACTAATTATGGAATTCTCCTTTTAATGCTTTGTTACTGGGGTGTGTGATAG